TGTAAACATGCACTATCATCACTTAAACTTCCTGATCCCCTTAAACTGTCCCAGTACAGAACACTCCTTGGCTTCCTTGAGAAAAAAACAACAACAGATGACAGGGCTCCAGATTCCATCACTCAAATGGGGACCATTCTGAGTCCCTGGGGGGGACAGTCCTTAGGACAAAGGTCACCGTCTAGTAGTTTGGGCATTGGAATACTAATAGCTTGTCATTATTTTAGGGCAGCCACTCTAAATGTCAAAGGAATTCAGCCTGTTACTGATCCGAAGAAAGTTCTTTCATATTTTAAGACAAGAAGACAAATGCTTCTTTCTCCGGAGAGCCTCTTAACGCATGCTGAGCACCAGATATTGCAGAGGGTCAGATGGTTGTCATCTTTTTATATATAACTCACAGAAGCATGACAAGGTTATGCATTTCACTGTTGTTGCTATTATGTCCTTGTATTGTGGAAGTGCCTAGAGGCCCCATGGGGCTAGGCGCTGCATGCACACAGAATGAACAGCTGGTTCCTGCCCCACAGGACCTACAATTGAAGGGCCAGCTTATGAACCCATTAGTCATCTTGGTGAGCAGTCACTCACACCACAGTCCCATTAAAGTCAATGGAACTACTTTTGTAGCGGCTCACCAATGGGAAGGAAGGGGCGCACAAGCTAGTCCTAAGTGTTTGTCAAGAGACAACAGGTGCATAAAGTGAACAGACAGGAGGGAAGGCGGAGGACACATTAACAATGCATTGACTGATCGATGTGATAAACAGTGGTCACAGCACATCAGCTACCTATTCGTTGTAAATGGTTTTGTAGGCATCGCAAAAGAGGTAAATTTTAAGGCTTACATTAGCCATGTGTAGCTCAACTGTTAGGGAAGACAGGACTGTTCTTATTGCGAGTCAGTTGATGGAAGAAGTGCGTACCCAGTGCAATAGGGTAATTACTTTGCATTTACACAGTGTCTTTCATCCATGGAGATTGAAGCACTTTCTAAGGATAGGTAAAGAATAGGATGGATGGATGGGTGGATGAAGAACACACTCATACCTTCCCCATCCATCCTATACTCAAAAGAGTAAAATACCAACCAAGATTATGACAGAACTCTTTTTGGTGTGGATTTTCATTCAGTAGCTCCTAAATACACAGTAACAATAATCATCATCATCATCAAAGAAACCTTCAGACAAGATTTAGAAATCATATATTTAATCTCCTCAGGATTGAAATGCTTTAGTCTAACTAAAGTCATTGGGCTCACAATAGGGGTAGCTGGGTTAAAGGTACAGTAATAGCTTACGGCACACCAGAGGTCAGAGTAGATCTAACAGTCCCTTCTGGCTGGAAAGGTTATGAAACAAGTCAAGTGTCATTACTGGGACATCTGAGCAGCCAGTAGCCCAGCCTTCAACAGAAATAACCCCATCTTTGAAACCTCCTGTGTTCAGAAAGTGTCAAGGCCTGGACAACTTGCTGAAAGAGAATTTCAGAATATCTCATCTTAAAACACTGACTGCCGATGGACTTAATGTGGAGGATAACTGCATAATTTGGCTTTTTCATGCTACGCACTTTGCAGTGTTTCTTTTAACAAGAGTTTCTGTTCCACCAGTCTCACATCCAGCAACATAAATATTTAATATAAAATCTGTGAGCAGCATTGAGCAGCCACTATTTAACACACACACACCCCGCCGCCGCCCCAAAAAACTGCCACTAATGTGTTCCCCCCCCCATGTAGAATTCTCACACACCACCATTCCCCTAGATTTCACTAGTCTGAACTATGGGATGGCCATCATTCAGACCTGGACCAGTGACAGATTCAGGTTCTGACAAGGCCCATGGAAGTGAATGGAAAAGGCTCCCATTGACTTCAAAGGACTTTGGATTGAGCCCTTCAAGTCCAATATCTCCTGAACTATCATGGCTAGAAATAGGAGCTGGGAATCTCCACTTTCTAGTGGCACGAGGCTTGTGCATCTATCCCTGGGAGAGTGTGAGATACCAGACTTTAAAAATCCGGATTTACAGAGAATCTCTATCAAGCTTGAACCATATTTTTGGTTATCACGGCACTCTCCCTCCAAGGCCTGCCTAGTTGGCCTCATGGTCCTATGTTGCCTGGCTGCAGAAGCAGAAAAATATGAAAAACTTGTACCAATAGAAAATGCTGCATTCTACAGGAGGTGTCAGATTTTTGGGGGTAAAATCTGAGGGATATACAGCCACCCAGCCAGAGGCACTATGGCCCTCTTGGCTCCCAGAGTCATGGCATTATGTCAGAATCTCAGCCTGTTTTTGTTTTTTAACATGACTGTGAAGAAAAGCTTGAAAAGTGACTCAGGTGTAACTGGTGCAGTGACATCTGCCTGAGTCTGCTGGCAGCCCAAACCAATAGCTCTGAAAAGCGCAAACTGCCCAATGCATCTCAGTGGGGCATTAAATTGAAGACTTACTACTCTGAGGCCCTGGCTAACACCACCCTCATAGAGGAGGATGCTGGAGAAGAAAGCAGCAGGCCCAGCCCACCCACTAAAGCAGAACTGGTGGGTTGAGTACTGGGTAGCCTCTGTGCCGCTCTAAGAGAAAGGAGATCCCTACCGCTGCTGAGGGGGAAGCCAGGCCTCATTCCATTGCCCCTGCCTCTCTGGGAGGAGAGGATCCCCCACCACCACTGCAAAGAGTGGGGGGGGGGCACACAGGGATGGAGCCAGGGGGTTCCTCATGTCATGGAGTGTCTAGGGCCACAGATTGCCTTAAGGTGGCCCCACATATGCAATACGCATGATGGGAGGCCGAGGTTGTCTTGTTCACGATGGCTTCTCTTGTGATTTAGCCATTCCTGCATAATGTGGTTCTCTCAGACTCCTGCCAAGAGAACCTGTAGACCATGCCACAGTGTAGAGAATTCCCTGATTATAAAGGGCCTGATCCTCAGCTGCTGTAAATAGGTTCAGCTCCGTTCATTTAAATGGAGCTAAACCCACACCCCCCAGCTCTGGATCTGGCTCAGAGTGAGCTCTTTGGGCTTTTTACTGACTCACCATAGCTCTTGGACAGCACTCTTTATCTGTAGAGCTCAAAGCACTTCCTCGCAGGAAGGTAACTTTAATCTGTTTATCTCCTCTGAAGTATCTGGTATTGTCCACTGTCAGAAGACAGGAGACTGGGCCAGGTGGACCAATATGGCTGTTCTTATGATCCCCTCTTTCAAACTGGGGAAACGGAGGCAGAGGGAAGTGTAGAAGCCTATTGCAGTGATGCCTGTAGCCCTGATCCTGCAGCCTGCTCTATGGGGAATAGGAGTTTCCCTGCACAGAACAGCTTGTTGAATTGGGGGTGTAAGTACTGACATAGTGTGGTAATGAACAATAATCACAACATCTCATGTAATGAGGATATTCAGTTTCCTCTGTTATAGCCTCCTTCAGAGTGTAATGAGCAAGTTTCATGCCGCTTAAAGAGGTATCACACTAACTGTTCACCAGTAGTGCAAATCTCCTCTATAATTTCTTTGCATTTGTTTTTCATTGGCATTTTTCAGTTTAAATACAAATATTGTCTTGTTTCATTATTCCGCCATCCACAAAGGAGACAATTATATATTTTGACACTAGACTTTCTTGGCCTAGGAATTAATGAGTAATGAATACAGAGGTGCTAATAGCTATACACAGAAAAGTACAGCTAATCCAAGTAACAACATAATAACAATAAAAATAACAGCAGTGTGGAAGTAAAACGCTGGCATGATATTTTGTCTGCGTGGTTAAAAAGTGTAATGAGTCTGGATTTTATGGGAACTGGAGCTATATAAATACCTTAGGATAGATGGAAGGTTAGGAAAAAAGGTAATTTAGGTAGAAATTAACAATAGAATAATTCTCAGCCACTTTACTACATACGGCTCCCCTTGGCTGCACGAGGAGTTTTGCCCCGGAGTAGGACTGAGACAATATAAATGGATTTTCACTCAATCGAATGAGTGATCAGTGTTTCGTTCCGTTTGTGTGAATGTGGTGGGAAAAGCGGCCCCCAAGTCTGCTTGCGCTAGCCCTCGGGAGATGTGGGGATAGGATGCCGTGGAGCACGGATTAAGCTCTCGGAAAGAGCTGGAGGGTTTTGCCGCAGTTTGTTACAGGCACCGTGTGTGTCCCCGTGGGAACACTTGTCCCGGGGGGAGGGGGGACTCTCGCCGCGGAGCTGCTGCCCCCCGAGGCACCTCTGGCTCCCCCATGGGGAAAGGGAAGAGCCCCAGGACGTGGCACAGGGGACTCCTGGGACTGACACAGGGCAGGTGGCAGCGAGCTGGCTGCAGGAGAAGGGGATTTACTGTGGGATGAAGCTGTACAACGCCCCCTCTCCTCCCGAGGGCTCGTCCGCCCATCCGCCCACGTGGCTGGCGGCCACCCTGGCTGCTCCAGCCGGAGCTGCCGCCCCAGCCCTTTCCATAAGCCAGCAGCGCTCAGCGGCTCCTGTAGCCCTGGCACCTGCCGCGGCCCCCTCCGCCGCTCCCGGGGGCGCTGGCTGGGGTCACGGGGTGCAGCGCCGAGCGAGGGCGGGCCCAGCCCTGGAATCAGCTGGCGGGGGG